GGGCCCGCCCACGGCCCGCCCCGCCCCGCCCCGCCTACCAGGCTGCTGAGGAACAGGGCCACCGTGGCGGCGCAGAGGACCGACAGCGGGGCTGCGGCGTAGACCTTCGGCAGCCACCCTCGCACCCGCGTCCACCTAGGAGCGGACCCAAGCGCCATTGGCGGCCGCGCACAGCCCCTCCCCACCCGCCCGGGGCCACCTACCTCCAGAGGGCGGTCAGCAGCTCCCAGGCCAGGGAGGCGGCGCCCAGCCACATGGTGGGCAGGGTCACCGTCTTCAGCCACTGGGAGAACTGGTGGAAGGTGAAGGCTGCGGAGGGAAGGGGTGTGAGCGGTGTCCGGCCCCCCCCCGCCCCGGCCCCCCCACTCACTGGTTCTGGAGAGGACGGCGCGCTGCTCCCAGTCAACCTCCAGGCCAAAGTAGTGCACCGTGCCATAGGCCAGCAGCCCGAACACGGCCAGCTCCAGCAGCAGGGACAGCGTGGACAGCAGAGTCTCAGGCCAAGCTGTGGGAAGACCGCCGGGGGCCGCTGGGACCGGGAGCGCCTGCAGCCAGGCTGTGGTGGGGCCGAGCGGGGGCCCTGCAGGTCGGGGGCCGCCCCGCTGTGGGGTGCACGCGGACACTCACAGGCCGGCGCCTTCCTGTGGCTGGACTCAGCAGCCAGGTGCGTGTCGTCCAGGAGGGCAGAGGTGAGCACCAGCGTGAGCAGGTTGAAGAAGTTGTAGTTGCCGGTGACGATGATCAGCACTTGCAGCAAGACCTGGGGCCACGGCAGCCTGAGGCGGCCGAGCCCCCCTCCGCGGCCCGGCCCACGCCGCCCCCACCTGGCCTTCTGCCCAGGGCCTTCCTGCCGGGGCCCCGGAGCCCTCCAGGCAGCCTGGGGAGGGCCTCGTGGCCTGCCCTGACCTACCTGGGCGTAGAAGGCGGCCAGGCGCAGGCGGCGGGCCGGGGCGAAGAACAGCGGGGGCACGGCCACCTCGATGAGGAAGGTGGCCACCACGCTGAGCCTGTGCAGCCAGACGGGCAGGTGGTGGGCGGCCCAGGCAGCGGGCGTGGGCAGGCACTGCGTCTCGTAGTGGTAAGTCAGCGCTGCGGTGACGGGGAGGCGGTGAGTCTGGGCGGGGGCCCCCACAACCACCCTGGCAGGGCCGGCCCTCACCGGTGAGCCCCCACCACGCCGGGCAGCGGCTGGTCAGCTTGACCACTCCGGAGGCGAACATGAGGCGAAACAGCAGCCAGCGCACCAGCCAGAAGGGCAGGTCTTCGTGGGGCGAGGTGCCCGCTGGCCTGCGCGGCGGGGCCTGCCTCAGGGGGGCCACCAGCACAGCCAGGAAGCCCGTCTCCAGCAGGAGGGAGTCCCTGTGGGGAGGAACGGCAAGGACCCCCATCACAGCCCGGAGGCACGGCCCCCCATCACAGCCCGGGGGAGGCACGGCCCCCCATCACAGCCCGGGGGAGGCACGGCCCCCCATCACAGCCCGGGGGAGGCACGGACCCCCATCACAGCCCGGGGGGGGCACGGCCCCCCATCACAGCTCCGGGGGGGCACGGCCCCCCATCACAGCCCGGGGGGGCCCCCCATCCCGCCCCCTGGCCTCGGCATGCCCAATGGCCACTCACCACTGGAAGTAAAGAAACACCTGGCCCACCTGCGGGGAGAGGGGTGGCTGAAGCAGGGGCAGGCAGGCAGGGGGAGGGTGGGGAGAGCGGGCTGGGGGGGCAGCCCCACTTGCCTGGCAGGCAGACAGGTAGGCAGCCCAGAGCAGCAGGTAGGTGAGGGGGTGGTGCAGTTGGCGCATCAGCAGTGCCCCCAGGGCCAGCAGGGTGCCCAGCAGGGTCAGCAGCTCCAGGCCCTGAGCAGTGTCCAGCCCCAGGCGAGGCGCTTCCCACAGCAGCGTCGGGGTCTCCCACAGCTGCTGCCAGCGCCCCTTGCCCTGTGGCCGCAGTGTCCTCCGAGCTGGCAGGATGCCCTCGGGGCCATACAAGCCTGTGGGAAGGCCGGTCAGCGACAGGCCGGATCTGCCCTCCAGGCCGAGCGCCCCCAGTCAGGATCTGGACTCTCCCACGCCGGTCAGGCTCCAGGGGCCTCCCCTCGACCCCAGGGTCGCGCTCTGCAGGCCGCGCACCCCAGGCTCCCCCGGGGCCGAGC